GTCCCTCTTTGGTCAATGGTGTCCCTCTTTACCAATCTGAAAATCTGGTCACCTTAGTTTAGTGGCATGTTTACATACATGTTGTTTAAGAACGAGCTGTGACTGATATTCTAATCTTGGCTTAGGAACCCCAAACTCTTTCATGCTTTGCCAAGAGTTTCAGTACTGAGTTGTAGGTGCCGAATCTTTAACCAAATAACTCAAAAAGTAGTGATTCTTCCAATTGTTTTGGGACCTCTTACAGCTCAAGAATGTGTGGTTGTTCAATCTAGGTATATTAGTGACAACAAAAATCAGGATTAGAGTATATGGCGAACCTATGGCACGTGTGCCACAGGTGGCACGCAGAGCCCTCTCTGTGGGCACACTAGCTGTTGCCCCATCTCAGCTCCACCGCCCATGTGCGCATGCCTCCATCTGGTCAGCTGATTTTGGGGAATCTGCTGCGCATGCATAGGGTGCATGTGGGAGATGCACACATGCATGGGGGGAGCGCGGGGGTGTGTGCGGCGTTCCCCCCTGTGGCTCATTTTTAGTCCCAGGAAGCTGCAGGGAGGCCTGCTAGGCCTAAAATGTAGTGCAGGGGATTCACACGTGTATACGGAGGGGGTGGGGCACATGGGGGGTGTCGCACATTCTGGGTCTGGCCACACGGTCACACACTGTTGTGTACGCATGCATGCTTTCGGTACGTGACAACAAAAAGGTGAGCTACATCTGGCATATACAATGCCATGTACATTCTCTGGAACATATAGTGCTGTAGAATAGTGTTTCTTAAACTTTTTTCTCTTAAGACCCTTCCAACTTCTAAACATTAGGGAGGACTCCGAAGAGCTTTTCTTTGCATGGGCTATATTTTAGTGATATTTACTATATTAAAAATTAAAATCAATGATTTCACTGCTGCAATTGCCACATGATTGATTGATAGGATGTTGATGTTGTGTTATTTTTCAACGTATAGATAATTTTAATTTTGCAGACTCCTGAAAAAGTGGTGAGACTCTCCCCCCCCGCCCCCGGTATCCTATGACCACACTTTAAGAAACAGTACTGTACAGTAGAAGATTATCTTGGGATATATCTTAGTTTTAGGGTCATATGAACAGCTAAGTACAGTGCTGAGAAGCAAGCTATGGGGATATATAAACAAGGAGGGCAACCTCTGGAACATACAAATCATAACAGATTGGAAAATATTGTTAGGGAGCGAATTCTGAGGTGATAGATTGTGTTTTATCATTTTAAACTGTATTTTAAAATGGATGACAGTTCTGAATGTTCTTGCAGTAAAACAGGATGCAGAAAATGGGTTCAGATCTCTGATACTGCCTTTTTTGTTTTTTTATTTGCAGTTTTTAAAAAGTCACATAAATTAACCATTCAAATGGATGCCCTGCAGCCAGAAAAGTTGTGTGCCATTTGAAGATTTTAAAATCTTAATCAATAAGGTTTATTTCTCTCTGGTTACTTATGCCTTCTGGATATACTGTTGAACTTAAATATAAGGGAATGTGCAGAATTAAAAATGGAATATATTTTGCTATTTATCCTTGAACCTTTCTGGAAGAATCTGATCGGCTGTTGAAAGATTAGCTATAGATTTTTAAATCTAATTTTGACAGTGCTCTTATGTAAATTCAAAGCCGAGGATTAATTTTATTTTTCAAATCTTCTGTTATAGGATCTGTTCTGGGTTCCTTGGAGCATTTTTTGTTTATTTTCATCGACAGGTGGTTTTATTTGTCAGAGAACATACTACTCTAAGTCGATTCCTAACCAAACAGTGAGTATGCTTTGCTAACTTATTATATTTTTAAATTTAGTTAAGATTGGAGCCATGAACTGAAAATTTAGAGAAAAAAGTTCAAGGGATAGACAAGTGGCAGAAGCTGCTGAATTATGCTCTAGTTCAGATTAAACAAGCAACACCTCCAATACATTAATATTTATTTTACTTCCTGATAAAGTGGCTGGATTTTTTGTGTGTGCTGAACTCACACTGATATCTAGCTAAGAGGAAAAAGTTCCACACATTCTCAGGAATCAGTGTTGAAAGCATTGGCTGAGCCCTTGTCTTCTGCGTGGCATTTGCAGCATCTTTCGGAGACTCTTGTATGAATTTAATTCCCGTTTCTTTTCTTTTTCAGCCGCCTTGTGTATCCTGGGGTGATAACTTTTGTGATAGCGTCACTGACATTCCCCCCTGGCTTTGGACAGTTTATGGCTGGAGAAGTGAGGATTCCACTTATCTGTCTAGTTATTTATCAATTAACCTTGTGGTGTTGTTCTTCATTGCCTGAGGTTCCAGAGCAATGTACAAATATAAATAATAGAATTTATAAAAGCTCAATAAAACTAACAGTTGTAATAACACAGTGTATAAAAATACACACCAAGTGTCTGTTTCATATAGTGCAGGATACAGCGTTTTCCATTTGCACTTACTTTTCAAATAGCACTAACACTTCTTTGTTTGTGCTAGCACACTGGTGCTGAATAAACTCTTGCTTTTCCTTCTATTTTGCCTGCATGCTGAGAAGAAAAGCAATGATAAATCCATGCTTTTGTTGTATGGGAAAGGGAAGGCAGGGAATTCTGCCTTTGAAAAAATAAGATCTAGATTCATCCTGCTCATATATCGTATTAAGCCATGGTTTACTGAGTGAACTGCAAATAGAACAAACTGGGCTCAATAAGGAGCTTTGCTAATAACCATAGTTTACAAATCACAAAATGGCTAAGTTCACACAATATGTGGACCCAACACATTATGGCTTAACATGATGTATGAAAGCTAATCTTTTTTATTCTGTCAGGAAATCCATAATTCTTCCACTAAAGACCAAGGATGAATTCACAGGAGAAGGTTTTACTCACAGTAACCTTATGCAATCTTTTTTCTATTAAAACAGTTGTTCTCTGCTTGCTGGAAAAAGAGGACATCATCAAAACAATTAAAGAAAATATAAATATTATCCTGGATTATGAAACAATATAAATTACATCTGGACTGTGGAAGGATCTGTCAGATGGGTTGCAAATATGATCAGGGATTGAGAAAACCTCCTTTCCAGCCATATAATACTTGGCTGAATTCAAACTGGGAATCATTATTGCAGAAGAAATAGTATTTGGCTTATTTCTTGTGCTCTGCTGTTTTAGAGATTGTTAGAGAAGAAAGCTGCCTCCCAGTTCCCAGTGTTTTGTGTTAAAGCTGGCTGTTGGCATCTTGTTAAAATCCCCCAAACCAGATTCAAGATGGGTGGTCCTTTTCAAAAAACAATTTACAAAGAGGAAAGAATTTTACAAGACTAAAAAGATGAGAAAGGGCATCATTGGCTGGCTAGCAGTTGAGCACCAGTTGGTTAAATCCATTCTGTGCTTCTCTGTTGACCAGTATTGTTGGTTCTCTGCAAGGCTAGAGATTCTCAAAGAAGCAAGCATGCTGTGGTGGTTGTATCTTGAGGATCAAGACTTATGCAAACAACTCTTTCAAGCCTGGTTTTGTTTTGATTGTATGATCTGGAGGCCTGGGTGACAGAAAGACTGTTCAAAAGTGGCCTCCAACAAATATAATTAGGCTTTTTTGTATGAAGAGATCCTGCAGCAGCATCAAAGGGCAACAAAGCATGGTTCTGTCACAGAATACATCTTGCTAAGACTCTTCTGTTTCATAACAAAAAGCCAAAACAATTATTTGTTCACATCTACAATGAGATGCCATGCTTGAAGTGAAAATATGCAATACAAATTGGCATAATTTATGCATATCAAAATGTCAGTTCTGTTTCTAAATTTGCCTCACTAAGGTAGGGAAGAGTCTTCTCTGAGAGACAAGTATAATTGCCTTTTCTCCTTGTAGCTGATGCCCAGAGAAGCCATCAGCAGCCTCTTTGATAACTTCACTTGGGTAAAGCACACAGAGGACCCGCAGGTCCTGGGGAGATCTGCAGTTTGGATCCATCCCAAAGTCAGCGTCTTTGTCATCATCTTGTTGTTTTTCATCATGAAGGTAAGGAGATAACCTGGCAATGCAAGTTCTATGTAGCTCCCACCATATTATGAGCCATTTCCCATGAGCAGAGTCAAAGAACTGTGAAGACTTCAATTCCTGGTTTACTTTTGTAGAGAAACTCAGTTAGGACGTTGCCCAAACATTGTATCTCAGTGCTATTTGACTGCCCACCTTTTTTTCAGTTAAGGTTTGTGCAATCAGTACTGCATAAAATGTAGTTTTAATGCCAGATTTCCAATGTGAATGATCAAAATGATATTGCAACAACCATTCCTTAAAGTAATTGCTTTGTTCCTTGCTCCTTTATTTACAGCGTAAATAAGTTGTCCCTTGAATTTATCCTTAAAAGATTATCATTTATTCTTGTTCCATGGGGAGGAGACTTTTGTTCTTTATTTCTTCCTAATGAATGAATTTGTGAACTTATGCAGTATAAAAAAGTTTATGCAGTAAAAAAAAGTTAATTATTTTTTATGTTCATCCATTTAATTTTTAAAAAAGGGATGTAGATGAATCGGATTTGCTTTAGTGTACACCATGGGAATTTGGCCATGTGTTCATATATTGGTGAATCTTATGGAAAATACAAAGCTATACTAAGTGCTACAGGAACCGACATTTTATTTCTGCACCCAGTGACTAGGGTCATGACAGGTCATAGTTTAGAAGCCATCTGCATCTGAAGCCTTCTTTCCATCCCTTGTGGAACAAATATCTTTTTAGTATGCTATCTAACCTAAGGGGAGTTTCAAAAGAAGTATTTATGCTAGTATTTAAAAAATGTTGAACTAATTGATGCATAACACACAAACCAAGTGTTGGCCAAGTCAACAGATATGGATTGGTCTGGACAACTGCTCTGTAATTTAACAGCTATATGATCTTTCTGCTCTACATCAAAATAACTGCTCCAATGTAGCCTAAGGGGGAGGAGAAATGTTCCTTTTTAGAGAAGCACATTGTGTGGGGAGAGGACTGGAGAGAGTACATTAGAAAGGTAGCTGTTGAAGAAGATTCCTCCTTTGTATCCTCCTACTTTGCCAGTCAGAGTAGAAGGCAGGAGGCTCTGCTAAAACCTTCATCTGCCAGACTGCCCTCAAGCTATTTCTAGAGGGGGGAGGGGGGAGGGGAGAGAGATAGAGAGAGGAGAGAGGGACAGAGGGCGAGAGGGATGGAGAAGAGGGGAAAGAGGGAGGGAGGGGGAGAGAGAGAGACATTGCCCAGTAACCATGCTTGCTTATTACCTCTGTCCTAGTTCTGGATGTCTGTCGTTGCCACAACTATGCCAATACCCTGTGGAGGGTTCATGCCAGTGTTTGTGCTGGGTGAGTTTTAATCTTTTTGTGAAAACTTTCAGGCAGATCGAGATGGAAGGAATTGCTGGTAGAGTCATAAATAAAAGGGGAATTGTGTTTCTAGGAAATGACTGAATGTACTGAAGTCATTTCTCCTTCCCTTAATCCATTCCTATTTTACCTACATACCACTTTCCTATGTCTTCAAGTTCTGCAAATGATTGTGGCAGTCCCAGAAGTTATGATCTATTCATCCTCTGTTCCAAGATGCTTCCTTGGGCAAGTTTATAGAGGACTAGCACTGAAAAGCATGAAAATCTGACTCTCTGGCAAGCCGAAACTTGGGCTACTTGAATGCTCAGAAATAGCAACAATGCCCACTCTTTCTATTCTGGCATTAAAGGAAGCAAGGATGGGTGTTGCTTAAGCTCTGGATGGTGACTCGTTGTCCTCCTTCAAAATATCATTAGAACATGAGTGTGTATTAGTGACCCTGATAAAGACAGTTTAGAAACTACCTTTGTTGGGTTTTAGGGGCTGCTTTCGGACGCTTGATTGGTGAAATCATGGCCTGGCTCTTCCCTGATGGGATTCTCTTTGATGGCTTTGTTTACAAAATCTTACCTGGTGGTTATGCAGTAATTGGTAAGTGTAAGACCCTCTTCCTTTCTCTGGTTCCAGTTGGGATCCAAGTGATGCTAACTTTGCCCTTTTTTTCCTTTGTCCTGGGAAAGGAGCTGCAGCTCTCACAGGTGCTGTCAGCCACACTATCTCCACAGCAGTGATTTGCTTCGAGCTGACAGGTCAGATTGCCCACATCCTGCCAATGATGGTGGCCGTCATTCTTGCCAACATGGTGGCTCAGAGTTTGCAGCCAAGCCTTTACGACAGCATCATCCAAGTGAAGAAACTCCCCTATTTACCAGACTTGGGCTGGAACCAAATAAGGTACTTAGGGCTGACCAAGAAGGAAGGGGGTAGGCTAAAAGGTGGTGAGATGTTCAGGAGGAGATAGAGATCAGTTCAATCCCAAGCAACGAAACAGGTGGCCCATAGATTGGAATGTATTTATTTTGAAATCATCTGTAGCCAATGTATCAGTTATGGCAATCATAGCTCAATAGCTACTGTAAAGACTTTAAGTGAGGATGATTTGAGGTTTGGCTCTTTACATGATATCCTGAACCACAAAGCAACTAATCCAGTGGTGGGATTCAGCCATTTTGTACCTATTCGGGAGAACCGGTTGTTGGCTTTCTAAGCAGTTCGGAGAACCGGTTGTTGGAAGAAATATAATTTTGTTTTTTTCCACTTTACAGGACTAATTCTGTAAGGAAGGCAGGAAGGAAACATTCTGGTGTTGTTTCTAGCCTAATCTTTATTGCCCTGCTTACAGAAACTGCCTCTCCAGTTAGCCCTTATTACATTGTAATAACTAAGGCGAAGCGCCCATCGATGTGAGTGACGCTGAGTTGGCCATGCCCACCCAGTCACATGGCCACCAAGCCCCGCCTACCCAGCTGGTCATTAGGGCAGAGAACCGGTTGTTAAATTATTTGAATCCCACCATTGAACTAATCACATCTTTGCCTAGCGCCTTGAACAAAAATGGATTAAGTAAAGTACAGTTAAGTTATGTTTGGTAAACAGCATGAGTTCACAACTCCCCAAAGCTTCAATTCATTAAAAACAGGTCAGCTTTCTTGTGAGTAGAGTGAACCCCCAGGAAATGTGTTAAGGCTGTCCATTAAGAACCATTGGTTCTTTTTTTAACTCCTGGAAATAATTTAAACTGAGTGATGGTTCTGAAATTTCAAGCCACCTAATGCCCTGAATGGAAAAAAATTCAAAAAATGATGTCCCTTCTTTCTCTCAACACTAAGAAATAGTGATATCTGTTTGGCAACATGGCTGCCCCCCAAGCATTTGTAGTTGTTGGGAATAGTGCCTATGTTCCTTTGTTTGTGTGTTCCTTTATTTTTTGCATTTATATGGTTGCCCAACTCAAACAACCTGACTGGATGGTGAACAAAGACCAGTAAATGAAAATATCAAAGCGGGGGGGGGGGGAGGAAGCAAACAAGAGCAATTAAAGCAAGTTTTTCTAAAAGCCTGTGGGGTTTTATGTCTTATGTTTTTCTGTTAGATGTTTCAGTATTTTAACAACATCTTGTAGGCTTTAATTAGTAAGATTTTACGGTAACTTTTTGATAGGAAGTAGCTTTCAGCAAGGGCTCAAAGCATGACATGAATAAATAATTCTCTTTCTCCCACTTTACTTATTCTTTCTTAATTTTTAACTTATGCCCACTCAAGCAAATACAATATTTTTGTTGAGGACATTATGGTGTCTGATGTCAAATTCATCTCCTCTAATTGCAAATATCGGGATCTGAAGGACGTGCTCCAGAACACCACGGTCAACACGTTTCCTCTGGTGGATTTTCCAGGTGAGCTTTGTAGGGAAACACTTCAATTCCTGTTTCCAATTAAAGCAGTCTTGCCAACAGAGATTCAGGAAACGGTTTCTCCGGGATTTACTTTTGTCCCCTCCAAGCATTTCTGATCAGTCATTTGATTGGTTTTAATGAGGAATGTAAGGGATGTAATTCTTTCAAGTGTTGATTTATTTATTTTTTAAATAAGAGTTTCTGACTGCATTTATGATGGCTGCTGGCTCTGTGGGAATGTACAAACAAAAGCTTGCTCTTCCATTGGAAAAAAAAATCCAGCTGGCTAGCGGATTTGTTGAATATTCATGCATTATTTTGAAAAGTAATTTAGGGTAAAATAAAATTTACTGATTGCCTCTTCCTAATAGAGAGACAGAGCCAAAAAAGAGAAAAGAGGGGCAGAGGCAAAGAAGAATTAACATGGAATTTTTCCAGAACTTTCTAGAACCTGAGCACTAGAGTTTTTGGAGTGGCATCAATGAGGAGAGATGATTGGTGACAAATTGGTAAACTTTGTATACTTGATCAAGAAAGAACTATCAAGAACAATGAATCCTCTCCATATTAATGTTATTGTTTCCCAATTCATAGCTATTGTATCAACTGAACCTATCATTTCCTCTTATGGGCAAGGAACACCATCTTAGTAGCAAGAATTCACAAATATATTCCTGTAGTATAGTTCTGTAGTATGAAGGAGAGAGGGCAAAGCCAAAACTCTACTTTCAACTTAAAGTTCAGTTTTCTCAAAATGTAATTTAAACTTCTTTTTAATTTAATTTTTAATTTAAATTTCTTTTGTCTGGGGCAGGGAAAACAGTTTTTTCTTAGCAATGTTTACTTATTGGGGAAATCAGTCAATACTGAGAGAGTAGTGCAATTTCCAACTAGCCATAAAAATCTGAGAACTAAGAAGACACTGATTTTGTGAATATGTATCACCTGAATGAAGCAGCTTAGAAAATAATTCAATAATTCACCACAGAGCTGTGGTGGCGCAGTGGTTAGAATGCAGTACTGCAGGCTACTTCTGCTGATTGCTGGCTGTCAGCAGTTTGGCAGTTCGATTCTCACCAGGCTCAAGGTTGACTCAGCCTTCCATCCTTCCAAGGTCAGGTAAAATGAGGACCCGGATTGTTGGGGTCAATATGCTGACTCTGTAAATTTTGTATTTGTATTTGTTTATTATTTATAGGCCGCCCTTTTCCCTGAGGGGACTCAGGGCG